CTCGGGAAAGTTTTATAAAAGTTACCTCGCGAAAGTTTTATAAAAGTTTCCTCGCGAAAGTTTTATAAAAGTTACCTCGGGAAAGTTTTATAAAAGTTACCTCAGGAAAGTCTTTAAAAGTTACCTCGGGAAAGGTTTATAAAAGTTACCTCGGGAAAGTTTTATAAAAGTTACCTCGGGAAAGTTTTATAAAAGTTACCTTGGGAGAGGTCTTTAAAAGTTGCCTCGGGAAAGGTCTATAACAATTACCTCGGGAAAGTTTTATAAAAGTTACCTCTGGAAAGTTTTATAAAAGTTACCTCGGGAAAGTTTTATAAAAGCTACCTTGGGAGAGGTCTTTAAAAGTTGCCCCGGGAAAGGTCTATAACAATTACCTCGGGAAAGTTTTATAAAAGTTACCTCAGGAAAGATCTTTAAAAGTGACTTCGGGAAAGGTCTTTAAAAGTTACCTCGGGAAAGGTCTATATTAATTACCTCGGGAAGATTTATAAAAGTTACCTCGGGAAACTTTTATAAAAGTTACCTCGGGAAAGGTCTATATTAATTACCTAGGGAAAATTTATAAAAGTTACCTCGGGAAAGGTCTTTAAATGGTGCCTCGGGAAAGTTTTATAAAAGTTACCCCGGGAAACTTTTATAAAAGTTACATCGGGAAAGTTTTATGAAAGTTTCCTCGGGACAGTTTTATGAAAGTTTCCTCGGGAAAGTTTTATAAAAGTTACCTCGGGAAAGTTTTATAAAAGTTACCTTGGGAGAGGTCTTTAAAAGTTGCCTCGGGAAAGGTCTATAACAATTACCTCGGGAAAGTTTTATAAAAGTTACCTCGGGAAAGGTCTTTAAAAGTGACTTCGGGAAAGGTCTTTAAAAGTGACCTCGGGAAAGGTCTATATTAATTACCTCGGGAAAATTTATAAAAGTTACCTCGGGAAAGGTCTTTAAATGGTGCCTCGGGAAAGTTTTATAAAAGTTACCTCAGGAAAGATCTTTAAAAGTGACTTCGGGAAAGGTCTTTAAAAGTTACCTCGGGAAAGGTCTATATTAATTACCTCGGGAAGATTTATAAAAGTTACCTCGGGAAACTTTTATAAAAGTTACATCGGGAAAGTTTTATGAAAGTTTCCTCGGGACAGTTTTATAAAAGTTTCCTCGGGAAAGTTTTATTAAAGTTACCTCGGGAAAGGTCTTTAAAAGTTACCCCGGAAAAGTTTTATAAAAGGTTCCTCGGGATTTAGACAGGAAACCAAACGTTGCTTGAAAGGACGAAACAATTTGATATTGCAGTTGGCTGTTCGACTGCATTTCATAGATGACTGTACCACATGGATGTATGATCCACGTTGTTTTCAATTTGTACCTGCGGTTGACACTGACACAGGAGGTGGAATGGATAGCTGGAGGGAGAATTGCTAGGGCACGGTTATATATTGCTTGAACATTTCCATGTGTATTTTTAATAATAGTGTAAATTATCATACAAATGGTATATTCTTTGTTAAAAAATGCAAATAGTTATCTCCCTTCGCAATATCTGAAAATATGTATTCATACACACAGGTTATGTTAATCTTGTCAATTTCATCGGCAAATGAAACGGATAACCTTTGGTAGTTACATTGAGTCAAACTTGAGTAGAAATTGAAATATAATGATATGTATAAGCACATCCTTCAACATTTGAAACAGACTAGCTGTTACTGGATGTGAAAATGGACATGTATGCTAGGTGAGTCTATATATTTCAAATATGGATGCTAGGTGAGACTATGTATTTTAAATACGTATGCTAGGCTAGACCATAGATTTTAGATTTGCATGCTAGTCTAGACCATATATTTTAGATGTGTATGCTAGGCTTGACCATATATTTTAGATATGTATGCTAGGCTTGACAATACATTTTAGATGTGTATGCTAGGCTAGACCATATATTTTAGATATGTACGTTAGGCTTGACCATACATTTTAGATATGTACGCTAGGCTAGACCATACATTTTAGATGTGTATGCTAGGCTTGACCATACATTTTAGATATGTACGCTAGGCTGGACCATACATTTTAGATGTGTATGCTAGGCTAGACCATATATTTAAGATATGTACGTTAGGCTTGACCATACATTTTAGATATGTACGCTAGGCTAGACCATATATTTTAGATATGTACGCTAGGCTAGACCATATATTTTAGATATATACGTTAGGGTGGACCATACATTTTAGATATGTACGCTAGGCTGGACAATATATTTTAGATATGTACGCTAGGCTAGACCATATATTTTAGATATGTACACAAGGCTAGACCATATATTTTAGATATGTACGTTAGGCTGGACCATATATTTTAGATATGTACGCTAGGCTAGACCATATATTTTAGATATGGACGCTAGGCTAGACCATATATTTTAGGTATGTATGCTAGGCTTGGCTAACATTTTAGATATGTATGCTAGGCTAGACCATATATTTTAGATATGTACACAAGGCTAGACAATATATTTTAGATATGGACGCTAGGCTAGACCATATGTTTTGGATATGTATGCTAGGTGAGACTAGGTATCTTAGACATTTACGCTAGGGGAGATTAGGTAGTTTAGATGTTTACGCTAGGTGAGACTAGGTAACTTAGATATGTACGCTAGGTGAGACTTGGTATTTTAGATGTGTACGCTAGGTGAGACTAGGTATTTTAGATATTTACGCTAGGTGAGACTAGGTAGTTTAGATGTGTACGCTAGGTGAGATTAGGTATTTTAGATGTGTACGATAGGTCAAAATACGTACTTTAGATGTGTTCGATAGGTGAGACTACGTATTTTAGATATGTACGCTAGGTGAGACTAGGTAGTTTAGATATGTACGCTAGGTGAGACAAGGTATTTTAGATGTGTACGATAGGTCAAAATACGTACTTTAGATGTGTACGCTAGGTGAGACTAGGTATTTTAGATGTGTACGCAAGGTGAGACTAGGTATTTTTGATATGTGCGCTAGTCGAGACTAGGAATCTCAGATATTTACGCTAGGTGAGACCTGGTAGTTTAGATGTGTACGCTAGGTGAGATTAGGTATTTTAGATGTGTACGATAGGTCAAAATACGTACTTTAGATGTGTTCGATAGGTGAGACTACGTATTTTAGATATGTACGCTAGGTGACACTATATATTTTAGATATTTACGCTAGGTAAGACTAGGTAGTTTAGATATGTACGCTAAGTGAGACTAGGTATTTTAGATGTGTACGCTAGGTGAGACTAGGTAGTTTAGATGTGTACGCTAGGTGAGACAAGGTATTTTAGATGTGTTCGATAGGTGAGACTACGTATTTTAGATATGTACGCTAGGTGAGACTATATATTTTAGATATTTACGCTAGGTGAGACTAGGTAGTTTAGATATGTACGCTAGGTGAGAGTAGGTATTTTAGATATGTACGCTAGGTGAGACTAGGTATTTTAGATGTGTACGCTAGGTGAGACTAGATAGGTTACATGTGTACGCTAGGTGAGACTAGGAATCATCATACATCTGTTTAAGTCTCTTTGCACTTATCGGTGATGCTTAGATCCGAAAAGTAAGAAATCTAAATTGTCTAAACTTCTGTTGAAACAGAGAAAAGGGTGTATGAAACCAATTAATGTGTTGATTAAAAAAAAGATTACTTGTTAATTTAAGATTAAATAGTCCGCGGGATGTGTACATCATGAACCGTACCACTACCCAAAAGATCTAACTTGATTCATTTAATAGAAGAAAAAATAATAATTAAAAAATGAACGATAGCGGGATGAATGCATTTTTGATAATTTTATTCTAAAACTCTTAAGACATCTTAAAATCATATTAGATTTATGTGGCGACGTCATAGCAAACTGACTTATCTGTACGTTATCTTATTCGTCATGTAAGTTCGCCAGCGACAATAGCTAAACATCAGCGACAACAAAGGCAGGGTACAAATGGTCGTCTCAAAAAGGTTTTATCCGTGCGAAACAAAATCAACGCTTGTGTGAATTTACATTTGTTCTGATTGACCTTTTGTCCTGAACCAAAAACGGTGAATATCTGTTTGGGTATTAACAGTTTTTGTTCATGGTATATGAAAGGAAATTAATAGAATCTTCCCCTACCCTGAGGGTGTGACAGAGAAATCTCCAACCCGAGGGGTGATGTTTTTCGGTTGTCTAACATCGCATCTCCACCGACAGAAGTGTAAACAAAAACACATGAGGGGTATGAAAATCGTCTTTCACTTTTGATGAAGTCACAATTATCGGTGACGCGTTTTAATGACGTCACAATTGAACACGTGCTAAGCTGGGGTTTTCCCGGATAAAACGGGAGACACGCCAGTGAAGGGTGGGAGAAACATATATCAGGTCTTCGAACTAGTGATGTCATACAAACGACTACGCGATATCAAGTATTATATATTATAAGGATATTCTCTTGTTTTTATGCATCTGTAGAGAAAACGGATGGGGTCGATCGCTGGCGACCAGGTAGCGCAATTGGTCAAAGCGTTCGTCTAGAGTTCGGAGGTCCCGGGTTTGAATCCCGGTCTTGTCTATTTTTCTCTCCTATAACTCATCCTTTGAGACAACCCCTCAAATCTCGATCAAGTCTGCGCTCATCTTGGTGTATGTGTCGTGTAGTCCTACATGTGTATGGACAGGTAAAGAACTGGAGTAATCGTATAGCAACGATATGATACTCAACAAGTAAGTAGGAATGCTCGATACGATTTCAAACTTATTATTGATGCATGCAAGTTTTAAGTCAAGTGCGGAATAAACGTAATGAAATTGACAGTTTCTTACAACCCAGACTAATAGTATGTACTACTCCGAGTACTCATGGTATGGTAGAAAGCAACGACCTTGACAAATCAGTGTAACTTATGGATACCGTGATAACCTTAGCACGTTATCATACGTGGGATCGAGACGGCTGATATAGGGTGACAAGCTCATAACATTGTATACTTCAGACGCATTTTACTGTAACCGATGTAAGGTGTGGTGATGTGCTCCTCTCTCGAGCACGAAGAATCGGATAAACCACAGAGATGGGTATGACCATAGTCCAATCGAAAAGGACAAACGTGCATGTGTAATAAACTGCCGGATGCATTCAGTGCTCCTGTTCTGGTAGTAGCAACATTCTGCAATGACAGTCACTTGTTTATCCATGTATAATGAACTATCAATACTTAACTCCTAGGTGTACAGTAGTGGCAGCCTTCATAGGTTTACCATCAGCCTTTAACTGTAGATTCTGGTATATTGGGAGAAATGGTAAGTTCTGTCTTTTCCTGATTAAGGGGTAGCAAGTAAGCCTCTTAAGACATCAAGATACTGATGTCGGTAACTGTGACGTTACTGCCACAGAAAGGCCGTTGGAAAACCAATATGGTGTGTTATATATTTAAATAGTACATGTGCGTACATTTACAGCACTATTTCGATGACAGTATTGTAAGTAACATATATGTTCCGTTTATACATAACACCGCTTTTCAAATCGGGGCGATTGTCGTGCTTACGTTTCCATGGTACTACCTTTACAATGCCTCTCCGATCGGACGTGAAAAGGTATCGGGTCACCTGCCCTACCACGTCGGTTTTCTGGTACTCCGGGTACTCCAGTTGTTCTCCCACACTTAGACCCCTTGCCAATCCGGGCCAACAAAAATGATTAATATAAGTTGATAGAACTTGTTTTGCAATTGTTGAACAAATTAAAATAAATAAAGTTTAATTTTAAACATCTAAACAAGGTATTACGTGTGAGTGTATTAATATGTAGTGAATACAATTCTATGTCTTTGAATACAAAAAATGCTTTTCTCTACAATTGTAAACGAAAGAAAGTTTGACAAGAACCGTTAATTATTTTGTAAAATCTATGAAGAAATAAATGTATCAATGCAGGTCACTCATCACCCCACAAACATTATAAAAGTTTTCCTTGCAAAAAGTGAAAGCGTAGTGTCCCTCTCAATATTTTCAGATAAATTACTATCCAGTAAAACAGGGTGAGTCGAGTGATGTCAAATCGAGATAGGATTATTTTCGGAGCCACCGGTGCCACTGGGATAGCCGCAATGGCATGGCGGGCATGGTACCCATGGTTACTGGATGATCTGACGACGATTAGATCAACAAATCGCCAAGCTACTAAGAGTATTCAAGACGCTGAAAACAAAAGATTTATCATCGATATGTTCGAGGAACAAGTGAAGCGCGTACCCAAGAAACCATTCATTCTCTTCGAGGACAAAATCTACACGTATGAATTTGTGAATACTATGGCTAACAGAGTTGCCAATCTGGCTTTGACATGGGGCCTGAAGCAAGGGGATACCGTGGCGACAGTCATCTATAATCAGCCCGCCTTTGTGTGGACGCTTCTCGGTAAGTATTTAAATGTCCCCCGTCAACACTTCCAATGAACACGTTAATTAAATTCGGCTGTTATCTTATTGTTAAATCATGCAATACAGAGAGAGAAGGAATTGAGGGGAGGGAGGCGGAGGGAGAATGATGGGAAGGCTTGGTTTGGTTTGGTTTAATTTTGTTTAACGTCCTAATAACAGCTAAGGTCAATTAAGGACGTGTGTTACGGCACGCTTTCTCATCCCGACACGATTTCTCACCCGAGTCAGAAATCGTGCTAAAATTGCTACGTTCGCAACACGATTTCTCACCGGGGCGTTTGTGGTATATTTAGGCTTTTTTTTTTATAAAGGGACTATTTCCAGCTATGTTAAAATTTCGTAGAAGCCTGCCCCCTCATGAATTTTGTTTCAGAAGTGCTACGAGATTTCTGCTGTTGTTTTAACTTTTTCAATCCCTTATAAATCCGATGTTATCACTCTGAATCATTAACCTTATTACAGCATAGGGGTCAAAAAATGGAATACTCGAGAAAGGACATTTACTCGCATGTAATGATATATTTATCATCCAGAATGTGAGTTAAAGCGAACATTTTTTGAAAATTTTAACGTAAAATATAGGATTTTTCATTTTTATTATTCTTGTATACCAAAACTTTTCATAGTATGAAGAAGTATTCATTTCGCACAACAAAGTACCCAGTGTGCCCAAAAAACCTCCCTGGCGTCCACTTAATTGCAGTGCACCTGATTACAGGTAATTGGTTACGAAATTCGTTGCAAGCCTACAATAAATCTTTCAGTGCACAAACAATTCCAAATTCCAATTTAATTCATCACTTGGCGTGATTGATAAATATTTTGTTAACAATCAATTTTAAGATGAAATGTAATTTTCTTGTCACTTTTTAGAATTTGTTCTTATACATTTTGTTATATTTTTTATACATTTTAACATCATACTTTCGTTTTTACATTGCTTTTAGGGGATATTTCATACTCAGTTGTTTTAATATTCATCTCATAATGAAGAGTTAATGTATTGGGGAAGGTCGCCATCCTAACTTCGCGAAATCTCGTAAATGTAAAGGTACACGAAATGTAAAAAATAATCTATAATGGCTTTTGGATATACTGACTTAAAGGGACTAAAGAGAATTTGAAACAGAACGTTTTGAAGATGAAACCACTAGTAGTTTGTTCATCTTATTGGCATTGACCTAAACCCTTGTACACATGTAATCCTATAAGGAAGAGAGTCTTTGAACATGAAGGTGTCATCTCGAATAATTGGTGACCTTTTAGAAGTGTCGTACATCTTAGCAAAGCCTTCACTCTCAATTTTGTCTCTTAGATGACCCTGGCTGCAAAGCTAGAACAGGTTGGTCAAAGAACAGTTTCTCAGAATCCATATGTATTTTGCCACATTACTTTCTTCTTCAGTGTATACCCAAATTGCACAAAATGCTCATTAACTGTTTTGGGTTCAGATAAAACCTGATATCTCTTATAATTAAGTGTTCCGGTCTTGGCATTTCTCTGTCTAGTATTCCAAAAACCTTTCAGTCTGTAGTACAAGCATTGAATAAATCGATAGTTCCAGTGTTCCTTCGTCCTGACCATTTAAGTAGGGAACGTATTTTCTAACAATCCTGTATGCCCAGGAACATTCTTGTGAGACAGAGTGACTGCTATACTAGATGGTACATATATATTTATATTTCAAAAGGTGCTCTCAATAAGCTTCAGAGAATGTCTTAAGGTGGCCAGAAGGAGCATAATTATCTTATATTCATGAGCATAACTCTACCGGATGGCTACATTTTGAACACAGTATGACCATTCTCTGGAAGCCAAAATGATGCAAGCGTTACAAAAACATCATAGCCAAGCTCACATGGTTGGAGCAAGACGACAATGTAGTCGTTGGTCGTAGTTTTAGAGATGTCCTGCCAATGTTAGAGGTATCTGGTATTAATACCAGTATGCAAGCATATTTTAAGACAGGTCAGGGACAACACTCTGATCTGCAGGCTAACATTGACAGAACAGTTACTAAATCCCCATGGATTGTGGAGTCTTTTCATTGCCGTATTAACCATTAGACAGTTTTTTGAACTCAATTAATATCAAATTGCTTCATCGATTTACTTATAGGAGTGCTTAAGATTGTGACTGCATTTCTCAATTAGATACGGGGACCAATCAAAGATCACCGAAAACTGACAGAAAAGACCAGCTCTCTCCAAATGAGCAGAGTCAGAATTCGTAAAGATTATGAAATATGGGTGAATCAGCACTATCAAGACCTCATCTGTTGCCAGATTTGTTCCAGATTCAAAAGCCAGACTAAATATAATGTTTGGATTCGGTACAGCACGACACCAAATGATAATAATCCAATAAAAGATTACCACTGCCAATGCCCAGTTGATCAAAGAACTATGGGAATGTGTGCTCATACATCATTATCTTGGCCATTTTAAAATTCTTTAAAATCCAAAAAAGTTGCACCAAAGGGCTAAGATGTTCCGACAAATCTTGAAATAAGTTGTTTTCTTGTGAATCTAGAATCACCAGTTTGACAACAAACTCAAAACCTCGCATCTTTGTTTTTCTTCTTTCCTTTTCCAAGTCTGCCATCGCACACATATCATACTCTTGCGTCTTGCAAAACATTATCTGTAAATGTCATCAGCTGTTAATGCGGCATAAAACTTTAATAAATATATGAAAACAAAGTAACGAACAAACACAAAATATCTAAATTCCATTTATATTGCAATACAAATGTCTGGTAATCTGACAACTGATTAGGCAGTAGAATAAATGTTTTGGTGGCAATCTTGAAAAGGAATAAACCAACTCATCTTTTCCAATTTTTTTCTCTGTTGATTAAATATAAATTCCATTTAAACGGGAACAAATATTTCCTTCTTTTCTGTTAGTTTCAGTGCAGTCATATTGATTAGACTATACACATAACCATGGATTCTGATGTATATACCATAGGGTCAGTTGATCTCATCTTTAGATATGTTCAACCACATATTTTGGATTGATATTTTGCCACTGGTAGTTCATGGCCTAGTCCTTCTATAATCAAAATATATTTGGTATTCAAAAGTTATAAGATACTTTTATTCTAAGATGAACACATTTTTGTCTGGAAAATATCATTATTTGAGATGGCTTCCAGCTGTTGATTTGTCTGTAAATATCTGATAACTAACCATAGCAAGATATTTTTACATGTATACTGTAGTATATGATACTTAGTTTTGGTTGCATCAAAAATGATCCTTCACCTGTTTGACAACATTCTTTTGGAAAAAATCTGACCTTTTGAGAATTTCAGTTTAATGCTCCTACGAAAAACGAAAAAAATACTCATTTGAATTGTAATGAGTGTTTTTGTTGTGATAAGGTTTAGGTCTACACCTCACCAAAAGAAATTGAAATTCTCTCTTCGATGTGTTTAAGAAGGTGCGCGCACGTGCATTGTATTTGCGCGCGTGAGTTTGTGCCTGAATGCTTCACGCGTATGCGTTCCAGGTGGTGTGTATGTTCTTACATACCACGTAATCGAGCAACACTATTTTTTTCATAGTCTAATTGAATATGTGAAGATATTTGAAGACTTCTGCGTATTTCAAAAGTGAGTAAATGAAAAAATTAATAGATAAATCAATCAATCAATCAATATTAGGTATGCTATACATCGAACATCTCGTCATTTGATATCATGAAAGCTCATCTATTACATGTACACTTAGGCAAGTTTAAAGAAACTCGCTCTATTCCAAAAATGAGAGATGAGGTCAGAAAAAACAAGGGATTGAAACAAGCAGCATAAAGTCTTTATTTTGGGGATACGTTTTTTTTCTAACGGTTCCTTTATTTACAAAATACCTCATTCCACGTTGGTAAGTAGATTTTCCAGGCTTATTTCGGATTAGTAGTAATATACATAATACATATGTGCCTGCAGGACATTCTCGGAGCTAAGCGTTTATCCGTTGTTTATCCGGGGCAAAATGAAAATGCATCGCGCTTTTTTGTTCCACACTGAATGCATGTGTAATCAGTAAGAAGTTATCGCTTCACTATTGATGCTATTGTAATTTCTATAGAAAACATTTTTTCCTAATTAACTGATGTATGGATTGCAGTTTTTTAACAGAGAAAAGATGATTTAAAAAAATAAAGAAACAGTTTTGTTATTGTTATAAAATAACATTTAGGGTATGTTGGTGTGCTTGCCTCCTTGTGATAGGGCAGATCTGATTCCCCTAAATGTTTACCGTTAAGCAGGGTATAACAACTACTATTTTCATGGACTTTGTCACGTCCCGGCCTGGGGACAGAACCCATTGTCTTACTCACCTGGGCTAATGCTCAACATTAAAGCCAAAAGTGGAGTGTTGCCAAGCAAGGCGCTACGAAATGAAAGGTAGTTAGAAGTAGAAAGAATGATAAAACCCCAAATATTGCAATGGGTGCAGCAGATTTATTTTGATCGCTTTTGTGTCCCAAAATAGAGGACACCAAACCAAATTCCCAATTTTGCACGGGGTTCCAACATTAGTCGCCTCCTACGATACATGCAGTAAGTAACAGCAGGTGTATTCTTTTCCCGATCCCCCACTTGCAGGGGTGTTGGGAAGGGAGAGAGATAATTCGGTACACGGGAGTACTGTCATGGGTCTCACAACTCTCACTGTTATTGCAAAAACGGAAACAACACATTACATAACGAATGTGAGCACCAAGAATATACTTTGGTGGTAACAAAGAAATATTCTTCTTCTTATGTTTCATTATTCAGCAGAACTGTGCGAGAACGTTACTACATATTTTGACATTACTATATGAAACATATATGTAAGACAGTACCCGACAGTCGGTGCCAGAGACACATAGGAAATCCATTGCATGGCATGTTAACATATCTAGTACTTTAATTGGAATGCGAATTATCGATACAATCTTGCTATCTAAGAAACCTATTTGCTATGTGTTTTACCAGGCCTCCTAAAGCTGGGACTGGTGGACGCCTTTATCAACTACCACACCAAGTCCAGGCCACTGCTCCACTCTATTCTGGTGTGCGACGCTAAGGTCCTTATCATAGGGGACGGTAAGTTCAGGTCTTACAACGGCAGCATCAGGTAATGAAACAATGTGCGAGTCTGTTGACTAAATAAAGTGCTACGGGCCACTTTGCGTCTCAGGTTTGTGTTGATATTGTCACAGTCAAAATTATTACTAATGAGGAATTACTATTTAGACATTGCTGTGAAAAATATTACTAATCAGAAGTTTTTGACAATAGTCGGAAACCGGGGACGGGGAAAAGGCTTCTGAAATTACTTGCAGTTCATCTAATCAACAAATATCAATAACAAATACTCCGGATGATTTTATTGTTTCTTATTCAGTCCGGTTTTACTACTTAAGATTTCCTGAATGTTTTCAACCAATAATGCGTTCATAAACTTTCATTTCCCCATACTTTAAGGTGACGAACTTTTGGAATCTATCGATACCATCAGAGATAAACTCCCGGTTGACATGCCGATATACGTATACGGAAAAGGAGATTCCAAACTTCCAGGGGGTTATCTTTCAATGGACTTGGAACTGCTCAGAGTTCATCCCGCAGAAATATGTAAGACTGTCCGGTCTGAGCTGTCATTGAAATCTCTCGTCTGTTTTATCTACACTTCCGGTACTACAGGTGAATTAAATTTCCAGCTTTATTTTCATTTCCGGCACCACAGGTGAATTCAATTTCCAGCTTTATTTTCATTTCCGGTACTACAGGTGAATTGAGTTTCATGTTTTATTTTCATTTCTAGTATTACAGGTGAATTCAACATTCTGTTTTATCTACACTTCAGGTATGACAGGTGAATTAAATTTCCTGATTTATCTTCATTTCATGTACTGCATGTGAATTCAACTTCCTGTTTTATCTACATTTCGGGTTTTTACAGTTTAATTAAACTTACCGTTTATTCTACATTGCGGGTACTGCAGGAGAAATCAACTTCCAGTTTTATCTTTACTTCGACTTTCTGTTTTATCTTTACTTCGACTTCCCTGTTTTATCTTTACTTCGACTTCCTGTTTTATCTTTACTTCGACAACCTGTTTTATCTTGACTTTGACTTCCTGTTTTATCTTTACTTCGACTTCCCTGTTTTATCTTTACTTCGACTTCCTGTTTTATCTTTACTTCGACAACCTGTTTTATCTACTCTTCGGGTTCTTCTTTGTTTGTTTGTTTATGTTTCACGGCCCATCGACAGCTGTGGTCATTTAGGGCCATGGTGATTTATTTATTTATGTCATCTATTTTTTTTAAACAAGCATGTGAGTAGCGAAGATAAAATCAGATAAAAAAGACATTTTTTTTAAAGCATTTGCATTGTATGTGTAGATAATTAAAATAAAAAGGGTGTTAAAATAATAAAAGAGAAAACGAGTTGATGATATGGACTATGTGGTATATATAACGTCAAAGAGGGTAAGGTGGGTTAAGTCTATAGAATAGACCGATGTCTTTCAAATAGTTAAATAATACCTTCGAGTACACGGAACTAAATAGGGTTTTCATATCCGTGACTCGAAAGTAGTTATAACGAATGTAATTAAAATCGGAACATTCTATTAAATAATGTTTCACTGTAAATAAAGTGTCACATGCGTGGCATGAAGGTTGATCTCCTCGTTTTAAAAGGTACGAATGAGTAGGATATGTGTGCCCAGTACGAAGCCGAGCGAGGACAACTTCCTCTCTACGATCTTTTCGACTAGGAACAGATGTTTTACGTTTCGGTTTTACTTTAAAAAGTTTGTTGCTGATTTTCTTTAAAGACTAGAATTTTTTGGGAGAGTTTTAAGCTATGTTTTTTGCAAATGTATCAGCAATTTCAGACTTAGACGAAAAATTTCCACTTAAATCATGTCAAACGATCAATATCAAAAAGTCAATTGTAAATATCGAAACAGTATTCGACTTAAAGACCCTTCAAATGTTTTCCAAAACGTTGACAAAATAGGAATTTTGTAAATCTATAACCGGAACAAGTAATTAGGCCTGAGCATAAAATCCATGCTTGAGCATGAGAACGTTATCATGAATACTCTTTTTGTTACTACGTACATTGTTGAAGTAGTGACCGTTGTCAGAAGTAGACTCATTAAAGGTTTTTTTTTATATCTTGAGCAATCGACGCATCCCCTATCCTCCAGTCTGACATCATATTAAATGCTACAGGTTTACCCAAGCCCGCAATTATCAACCAGGCCAAGGCGATAGGTCTCTCCAAGTTCTACCAACAGATATGGTATAACGAGGCTGACACCGTCTATGTCGTCACACCTCTCTATCACAGCGCCGCCTGTGGGCACGGACTCTTCAACACAATTGACGTCGGTACGTATCAACACTAGGACCACAATACATTTGTTTCTTTACGTTGCATGGTGAATATGTAAAATTTGATTTCAATAAAAAAAATGTATAGCCCACTTTTGAACTTTTCTGGCCGTGAAATACGATTGGAAACGAAACAGCATCATTAGCATTTTATACGTTTTTTGCCTTTGTGATAGGGAAACACAGCTCTTTGTTTAATCGTGTGTCTCTACCGCAATGGGAATTTACATTTTTTTATCGAATTAGAATAAAAACACCACAGTGAAAAGAATTAGGCTTCCGTGCCATTGATATCGCCTGTTTGGTCAATACAAGGGCCATTCAATACATTCTGTCACTACACAGCTACCGGATGAACGGACAATATAATGGTTGAACGCTTTGGCAGACTGCAACATCATTCAAAAACAATGCACCTGCAAAATGTCGACATCATTCGTTGTGAAGCGAAGTCTCCTCTGCCGTCACATTGAGAAATGTTTTCAGGTGCAAATTCAAGAATGGTTTAGTCGAAATCATAGAAGAAAAATGGCCAGGCAGACCAGTTGTTGCAGCATCAAAGAATGAACATTGTTGCTCGGAAAGCAATGAAAAGGATGATGATCGATCAACTGCTCATATTGTTGGTATTTCAGAAGGCTGTATACAATACATTGCTTGAAATTAAAGAAGCAGTGTGCTCGATAGATCCCCCATTTGCTGACATCTGAACAATACGATGACAAAACTAGAAATTGTTTGCTAACAATTTAACAAGCTTTTCACCGTTAGGACTTATTTGGCCTTATAGCTAAACATCCTAGCATCTTACATATAAAATAGCAAGACTCTAGACCTTAAACACCCCCAGAACAAGCTTTCCAAAGTTAATTACCCCATAAAGTGCATTTGAATTTTGACCCCTACCGAAAACCGAAAGTTGACTTTTGACACAATTGTTTATGTATTACAATAAATAGCAATTGATAGCAGTATGCTACTGACCAAATAGCATCGCCCTTAGCCTCTTGGTTATTGAGAAGAGGCCGTATACAGAGTTTTAGACATTTGACCCCTATGACCTTGAAAGTAGGTCAAGGTCAATAATTTTTCACAAACTTGATAGCCAATCACCTGAGCACCGTGTTGAACTTAAGAAGAAGATTTTTTAAATGTGTTACCCAAAATAGCACTTTTGAAATTTGATCCCTGCCGAAAACTGGAAGTTGACGTTTTACACAAAAATGTTATCTGATTTTTTTCCCCATTTGTTAGTGTTGAAAACATATCCAAAGATGAATTTAATATGTTCAGCCATTAATGAGTTATGGTCATTAAGGAAAGAACGGATATGACGTCATGGCAGCCATTTTGGGTTTTTCAAAGAACCTAATATAATTCGAAACACTAGCCTATCTGGGGAAACTTTTATGCGATGAACAATTGGAAAATTGGAGAAATATGGATTTTAACATATTGTCGGCATTTCAAAAAGATCATAGGAAATTTTCAAAATGGCGTACATTGCAAACGGAAAACGTTATAGAAAATCTGAAGACGGAATGACATTTTGCATCGATTTCAAAAAGAATTTTTTAAATATTGAAAAATGAAAAAAATTGGTGACCTTTGACACAACAGCGAGTATTTTTTATTCGACCTTATTTTTAATAACATGTAATGAAAAAAGTTAGCCCTGAAGATAATCTACAAATGATATTACTACATGAAAGCTGTAAATAAAAGTTTTTGAGTTATGGCAATTTAAACATTTTGAGGTATGACGTCATAGCGGCCATATTGGATTTTTGACATACAAATGTTCTTGAAAATGTTGCAATGACACCTTTCGACCTTGGCCTACAATACACTTATCAGTTTGTTAACACATCTGCTACCAATCAAAAGATTAGGTTGCCACAAAATCAGGGAAGAAGAAGAAGAAGAAGAAGAAGAAGAAGAAGAAGAAGAAGAAGAAGAAGAAGAAGAAGAAGAAGAAGAAACATAACAATTCCAATAGGTCTTTTCAACAGTTGGTGAAAAATAAAGCCCTTATAACAAGAAACATAACAAAAACAATAGGTCTTTTCACCAGTAGGTGAAAAGCCTCACTTACATATTGAAAGAACGCATGTCCATGAAAAGTTTGGTATACTTGACAGGTGCAACGCTCGTGCTTCGCCAGAGGTTCTCGGCTCGTTACTACTGGGAGGATGTTAGGAAGTACAAAGTCACAGTACTGCCGTATATCGGCGAGCTCTGTCGGTACCTCCTGAGAGTTCCACAAGTATGTTATATATTAGTGTTACCTGGACTTCTAGTCATGGTGGTAAAGTGTATAAGATCTTATTTTGCCAGAGACTATCTATGCCAAAAGCATATATAGTATCTACTCTATCACGTTTTTATCATTTCTGATACTGTTCACAGTTGTTAGATTTTGCCTGTTAAACATGGAAATATTTGGGAAGGATTTAATTACGTCATGATACCCTTCATCCTGAACAGGTGTATGGTTGATGGCAATCAAGAGCTAACTACAATACATCTTGAAGAAGGATCTTTTGTCCAGTTTTGGGTCTTAACAGGATTTTGATAGATGTAGAGGCTAGCTATAAATCTAGAAATTATAAAGACCCTTTTGTTGGTATACAGCAATACATTAGTGCATCTTCACTAGACAAAGGAGACAAGTATAACGGCCAACCATTTTTCATCTGCGAAAGCACGCACATTTATTGGAAAATCACATATGCAAGTGCATGCATTATCTACAAATAATAACGATGGTAGTTAACCAGTGAAAAGTGTCGTCAAAAATGAATATAGAACGGCTACAATAGGTGATGTAAATACTGCTAAACCATTGTACCAGAGCTGATATCAATAATGCTAACCCATTGTACCAGAGCTGATGTAAATGCTGCTTACCTATTGTACCAGAGCTGATGTAAGTACTGCTATCCTATTGTACCAGAGCTAATGTAAATACTGCTAACCTATTGTACCAGAGCTGATGAAAATACTGCTAACCTATTGTACCAAAGCTGATGTAAATACTGCTAACCTATCGTACCAGAGCTGATGTAAATACTGCTAACGTATTGTACCAGAGCTGATACAAATACTGCTAATCTATCGACCAGAGCTGATGTAAATACTGCTAACCTAATGTACCAGAAACGACGCGTTTTACCTTTGTCCACATGTGTTAATTGCAATACAAATTTCGACGCAAGTTTACTAGTCTTCTTCCTCCTTTAGAATGACCTGGATGGTGTCCACTCTGTCCGTGTTGCCGTAGGTAATGGCCTGAGACCGGACATATGGAACGAGTACCGGACACGATTCAAGATTCCGTGGATCGTCGAGTTTTTTGGTGCGACTGAGGGAACGACAACCTTTATCAACGTCACAGGCCAAGTCGGCGCCATAGGCAGATGGTCTCCGTTGATGGCAAGTATTTAGTGACAATTTTTAATTACCAATATATGCTACCCTATAAATTATACATGTAATTTGTGTTACAGTTCTCTTTTCAAACACACTCTTATTAAAACCGAAATTATCTTATAATCCAGCATTGACATAGTGTTAACACACCTGTCTTGTGTGTGTGTGTGTGGGTTCAGTCAATGAATTTTGCATAACTATATGATATCATTTATAAGTAAATTAAAATATATATATATATGTAGATACCTATTTTCGAAAGCAAGGGAAATAGTATAATTCCTCCTTGAAATCCTATGCATGCCTTGCACCAAACCAGTGCATATGAATGGAAAACTTCCGCTGAAAGACAAAGTATGAATAAAATTATGTAAAATCAAAATCTACAGATCATGAGAGATTAGTTACGATGCCATTTATTGATTTCTCAAAAATGTGATGATTGCTTTAAAAGTATTACGTATCTACACATGTGTGCATATTTTGTTAGTATACGGGTATTTTTCCCCAAGAAAAGATAATTACGTGGGCATAGATGGTAAACACACTGTTAAAATGAAAATAAATCATAAGCAGAGATGACCAGCAAAACCATCGACATCATTACATAAATAACAAAACAGGAGGTCTCAACCTCACTCCATCTGACATACTCCTAAGTTTACAGATCTACAACAACCAAAAGAGCACCAAACCGGTTAATATAAATGGAATATTTAGGCCAAAATCCTTTTAGGAGTTCATCTGTCGTGAAGATAAGGAGGAGAAACATAACAAAACAAAGGGACTATTTCCAGCTATGTTAAAATTACATAGGAGCCTGCCCCCTCATAACGTTTGTTTCAGAAGTGCTACGAGTTTTATGCTGCTGTTTTAGTTTTGTTCAATCCCTTATATATCTGGAGTTGTTACATTGAAATACTCTACTAATTATTTAGATGATTGATCAACCTCATAACAGCATAGAAAAATGGAAAATCAACCTGAAAGTATTTTTCTGAATAAAGAAACGTGTTTTTTGCATCGTCATATATGGGTTAGAACATTTATTTTATGGAATTATTTAATAATATATTTATCATCCAGAATGTCAGTTTAATCAAACATTTGATGCAAATTTTAATGTAAAATAAAGGATTTTTCATTTCCATTTTTCTTGTATACCAAACATTTTCATAGTATGTTATTTCAAATATGTATGCAAAAATTTGTTAATATTCATCTCATAATGAAGAGTAAATGTATTGGTGAAGGTCGCCATCGTATTTTCGCGAAATCTCGTAAATGTAAAGGTACATGAAATGTGAAAAAAAAAACAATGAAGAAGTTAGTATTTCTCCGATGTGCTACATAAGGTATTTGCGCAAAAGAGAATCTGGTCCAGAACGTTTTGAAAATGAAACTTCTAGAAGTTTTCCTCTCTTTTAAATCGAAGACCTGTTTTTCAGGGCCTATTCACATAAAAAAATGTTGCCTTTGTTTTAACATTTATTACTCGAAGGGAAGCAAATCCACACTTCTGCAAAAACGTGCCAGGCATCAGTAAACGTTCACACACAAATTGTGTTGTTCTGCGTCATCACGTGAATGCTCATTTCATCTTATTGGCAATGACCTGAACCCTTGTACACAGGTTATCCTATAAGGAAGAGAGTCTTTGAATTCTCAATCATGAAATAGGTCATCTGAAATAATTGATAACCTTTTAGAAGTGTCGAACTTATTATCAAAGAATCAGTCAGCCTTCATTCTATTTTTTGTCTCTAGGTCAAAGAACAGTTTAATCCATTCGTAATTGGTCACTTTTCTTTCTTCTTCAGTATATACCACAACTACACATAAAGCTCTTTTACTGTTTTGGGTTAAGATCAAAACTGATATCTCTTGTAACTAAGAGTTCCACTTTTTTCGGCATTTCCCTGCCTAGTATTTCAAAAACCATTCATTTTGTGGTACAAGTATTGAATAAATCTATAGTTTTAGTGTTCCTTGGTCCTGACTATTTGAGTAGGAAACGGATACTTTCACACAATACTTCATTCTCAGAAACATTCTTTAGAGAAAAGGGACTGCCTTAATAGATAGTACATATATTTATATTAAAAAAAAAGTGCTGATCATAAGCTTCAGAGAATGTCTTACGGTGGCCAGAAGGAGCGTAATTATCTGAAATTCATTAGCATAGCTCTACCTGATGGCTACATTTTGGACAAAGTAGGACCATTCTCTGGAAGCCAAAATGATGCAAGCATTACCATAAACTTCATAGACAAGCTCACATGGTTGGAGCAAAACGACAATGTAGTCGTTGATCGTGGTTTTAGAGATGTCCTGCCAATGTTAGAGGCATCTGGTATTAATACCCCCGATGGATTGTATCATCGCCGTCTTAAGCATTGAATAATTGTTAGAACACAATTAATATCTAATTGCTTCATTGATATAATTGAGGAAGCGCTTAAGATTTTGACTGCATGTCTCAATTGAATACGGGGACCAATTTATCAAAGATAACCGGCAACTGACAGAAAAGACAAAGAACTTGCACATCAAATGAAGTGTCTACTTACAAAAACTTTTGACTGTTTGGATCAGACGGTGAAAACAACCAGCTCTCTCCAAGAGAGTAAAGTCAGAATTCGTAAAGATTATGAAATATTTATGCATCAGCACTCTCAAGACCTAATCCGTTGTCAGATTTGTTCGAGACACAAAAGCCAGACTAAATCTAATGTTTGGATTCAGTACAGTACGACACCAAATGATAATAATCAAATAAAAGATAGCTACTGCAAATGCCCAGTTGGTCAAAGAACTATGGATATGTGTGCTCATACATCAGGTATACTTTATGATCTTGGCTATCATAGCAATCTTCAAAATCTAAAACAGTTGCACCAAAGGGCTAAGAAGTTCCGACAAAGCTTGAAATAAGTTGTTTTCTTGTGAATCTAGAATTACCAGTTTGAAAACAAACTCAAAGACTCGCATAATTTGTTTAACACATTTCAAACTCTCGTATCTTGCAAAACATTATCTATAAATGTCATCAGCTGTGAACACGGCGTCTAACTTATACACTTACATATATAAAAACAAAGTAACAAACAAACGTACAATCTCTTAATTCCATTGATATTGCAAGAAAATTGTCTGGGAATCTGACAACTGATTAGACAGTAGCATGAATGTTTTGGTGGCCATATTGAAAAGGAATAAACCAACGAACCGTTTCCAAACATTTTTTTCTGTTGATTAAATATTCATTCTAGCTAAACTGGAACAAATATCTGCTTCTTTTCTGTCACGTTTCAGTCATAATGATATTACTATACACTTAGCCATGAGTTCTGATGTATAGACCATATTGTCACCTGATCCCTTCTTTGAATAGGTTCCACCAAAAATGTTTTATTGATATTTTTGTCACTGGTAGTTCATGACCTAGTCCTTCTATAATGAAGATAGTTTTGGTATACAAAAATTATAAGGTTTATGTCTGTAAAATATAGTTGCTTGAGAAGGCTTCCGGCTGCTGATTTGTCTGTAAATATATGATTACTTACCAGAGCAAGATATTGTTACATGTTTACTGTATCTTATGATCCCTAGTTTTGGTTGCATCAAAAAAATATTCTTTAATGCATCATTGGTTTGACAACATGCATCTTTTGGGAAATAACTCTTTAGACTTTTTTAGAATTTCAGCCTTATGCTTCTACGAAAAACGCACCAAGTGCTCATTTGAATTTTAGTGAGTATTTTTGTTGCGAAAACGTTTAGGTCCACACCTCACCAAAAGAAAATGTAAATCAAAAGAGGGCCTATTTTGGAGAAAAAAAAATGTAAAAAGCTTGAAGTGTCTTACGATGAAATTTATAGGATCAAAAAAGGCTTGCAATTTTCAAAACTCCAAAGAATGATATTTTGAGTTGTTTTTGGAAATTATATTTGACAGAGAGATATAATAGTGAAAATGATCCGGACAAATCTGTAGTTCAAAATAAAGTGGAATCATATAAAATAGCCTTATCCCCAATGAAATACTGATGGCGACAATAGAACTAATGACTTGTCCATAGTCTTCATTCAGCTCCATCTTTGGAAACCCTTTATTGGAAGTTTCCCGTCAGCTGTCAACATCAAACTCCATCTTTGGAAACCCTTTATTGGAAATTTTCCGTGAGCTGTCAACATCAAGCTCCATCTTTGGAAACCCTGTATTGGAAGTTTCCCGTCAGCTGTCAACATCAAGCTCCATCTTTGGAAACCCTTTATTGGAAATCTTCCGTCATCTGTCAACATCAAGCTCCATCTTTGGAAACCCTGTGTTGGAAGTTTCCGTCATCTGTCAACATCTATCACAAAAGTCATAGTGTTTTGAGTAAGCTCTGGAATACAAAATTTCAACTGCGACACGTAAACACTGTATGGATGGAAAACAGGGGTGTTACTGGCAATAAAGTCTAAATCGTCCTGTTCATTGTACAGCGTAGGAGTTAGTCGTCTCCGTTGGTCATGTTGTTAGTAAAGATAGAAGAAAGCGACTGAAGTAGAAGAATCTGTAGTGTCATTGATTTGAGACGTTCTCCATGTTAACTCCTTTCCACAGAAGCTTTACGTATATCTCAAGGCTTATGGTGAGATTATCCAAGATATCTTTGGTTAGTTGATTTCTACTGAAACACAAAGAGGTTTTTTTTCCATTAAATTACTTTCCGTTACTAAAATATAATGCTTCACATCATTTCAGCGAGTAGCGGCAAAAGGGAGATTTGGTGTCACGAGTCATGTAATCAAGTATGATGTTGTCAATAATATACCGGTTCGAAACGACAACGGCAGATGTATCCCAATCAAAAAAGGTAAGACGAAATTACACAAGATTGCATTTTACAAGTACTATAGCGAGATCCATTAGGTTCTAAATGTCATATTTAAAGACCAAATAAAGCATTGATATTGAGATATACAGTTCGGAAATATTGAACTTGAATTTGAGTTTTTCAAATAATACAAAATGTTCATCCTTGTCTATAATAAGGCATTAAGACTGATGCGTTCATGACAATTGTTTATCGGCATTATAGCATGTCAATCCCATTTGGTTACCAAACTGAACAGTACCAAATGGCACCTTTCTACGGTTGTTTTATATATCTGGGCCAAGTGATGTTGAAAAGCAAAATGGCCACGAAAAAATAGCATGGTTTGGCGATCGAAACCACAAAAACCTCAGTAAAATTCCCTGGTAACGTATTTTGATATAAATGTTAAACCAACGTTAATGTGACCTTATATAAATCATTGATATATAGTCTGTCCTTTCGTTATTTGTAATGCTGGATCGACTTTGTATATTTATAGACATTTTGGTACTTTCTATTACACTATTTACGATGTATAGAACAAGGAGTGCTATGAACTGACGCTCTATCTAAAGTGTATTTACCTATTTATATACTGCAAAAAGTTATTGAGAAATTTTATAATGTTTTTTGAGAAAGATTAGACTGAACAAAACCCCTTTGGTTGGAGACTAATTTGCATTCTAAAAAAAAGAAAAGAAGCCCAGCATCACCAACCTTAATACCACATTTCAGACTAATTTCACTTTGTAATATTTTGATAATCACAAGCTCGCAACCACTGGGTCGCGGATTTGAGGCCTACCTGGATCAGTCGCCAGGTACTGGCCGCAGGTCGGTGGTTTCTCCCCTAGAACTATGATTTTCCGCCACCGCTAAACTTTACGCATGTCCTCAAATGAGCATAGCTGTTTATAGGACGTAAAACACAAACAAACCAAACTTTTAGTTCAAAATATTCTATTTATATTTCTTAACACCGGTGTTTAATATGAGTATCATGGGGTTAAAACATAAACGTTGACCACAACATCTTTTAAAAGGTTTCATGTAGGTGGGCTCTTACTCAACATACACTTTCCCTAAATCGCCTAGAAATACTAGTAATAAACGTTAAATTTATCAAAAGAACCAAGGGACCTTAACGCTTACCTGAGTTGTAATATAGTAATTTGTCATTGTTTAGACGTAGAGTGAAAAAATAGTGTAAATAAAGAAACATGCATTACCGAATACAAGTCATGTCAAAATAAATAAATATATGAATATTTAAATGAATAAAGCTATTCAAATAAATTCTTTTAATGAAATACTACCATCTAACTGCTACCTCATCATAATCAATTCAATCTCGTTTTAATGATTTATAGCTAAAATGTACAAAATATACCCAAATGTGTAATTTCCCTATGAACACTGTAAACTAAAGTAAACTTTACCCCTCCCCGAGGTTGACGGACGTGACCTGAGTCAAGATAAGAAGATTTTTGAAATATTGGTCAATTTTCCCTTTGGAGCCCCGCCTTGTCCCCATGAGGTCAGGGCAGGAATCCCAATTAAACAAGTTGATCCCTCTTCCACAACAAGATGATTACTACCAAGTTTACAAGAAAACAGTCCAAAATGTGAAAATAAACATAAGACATAAGACACACGACAGACGAAAATAAAGCTCAGGTGACCAGTACTTACATTCTAAAAACATGTTTTAATCTGTAATATTTAGTTTTGCATAAGGTGTGTTCAATAATATTTCTGTTTTAAAAAGGGAGCCAAATGAATTTCCCATTTCCCATTTACGTATAACAGATTTGGTATTTAAGAGTGTGGTGGTAAATTTTGTAGTAAAACCATTGTAATTTAGTATTTTTCGCAATAAAGAAAGGAAGTTTGTATAACTTTTTCTGCGTTTCTTCACCAATGTAATTGTTTCCCATATTTTTATGTGTTGGTACAACTTCGTTTTACATAGAACGTCAGACATCGTAGATGGTTAGTGTTACATGGAACGTCAGACATCGTGGATGGTTAGTTTTGCCTAGAACGTCAGACATCGTGGATGGTTAGTTTTACATAGAACGTCAGATATCGTGGATGGTTAGTTTTACCTAGAACGTCAGACATCGTGGATGATTAATTTTACATTAAACGTCAGACATCATGGATGGTTAGTTTAACATAGAACGTCAGACATCGTGGATGTTTGTTTTACATAGAACGTCACACATTGTGGATGGTAAGCTTTACATAGAACATCAGACATTGTGGATGGTCAGTTTTACATAGAACGTCAGATATCGTGGATGGTTAGTTTTACATGGAACGTCAGACATCTTGGATGGTTAGTTTTACATAGAACGTTAGACATCGTGGATGGTTAGTTTTACATAAAACGTCGGACATCGTGGATGGTTAGTTTTACATAGAACGTCAGACATCGTGGACGGTTAGTTTTACATGGAACGTCAGACATCGTGGATGGTTAGTTTTACATAGAACGTCAGACATCGTGCACGTGGATGGTTACTATTACATAGAACGTCAGACATCGTGGATGGTTAGTTTTACATGGAACGTCAGACATCTTGGATGGTTAGTTTTACATAGAACGTCAGACATCGTGGATAGTTAGTTTTACATAAAACGTCGGACATCGTGGATGGTTAGTTTTACATAGAACGTCAGACATCGTGGACGGTTAGTTTTACATAATACGTGAGACATCGTGGATGGTTAGTTTTACATAGAACGTCAGACATCGTGGATGGTTACTATTACATAGAACGTCAGACATCGTGGATGGTTAGTTTTACATGGAACGTAAGACATCTTGGATGGTTAGTTTTACAGATAACGTCGGACATCGTGGATGATTAGTTTTACATAGAACATCAGACATTGTGGATGGTTAGTTTTACATGGAACGTCAGACATCATGGATGGTTAGTTTTACACGCTTTCTTTATTTCATTATTGAACCTGATCGGAGATTATAATATATTTGTAGCTATTTTACAACTAGATTGGACTACTTTTAGCCACGCTTCTAGCACATTTTTCACACATTTCTATTCTTAATACTTTGGGAGATTAAATCATTTCACATATAACATATCCGTTTCTAAAATTATCGATATGAAGTTTGCAATTCCCTACAAAGATTATGGGGTTTGTTGACATTATCTTAAAGGCTTTCGTTATACTTATGTATTAAGATAATACTTAAAATCTATTTACGGAATCTCTAATTGTCCTGTACAGGAGAGGAAGGCGTTCCTATCTCCGGCATCCCACCATCGTATTCCGGCTTCTACAAGGGGGACATAGAGGCCAGTCAGAAAAAGATCCTCATCGACGTATTTGAAGAAGGGGACCGCTACTTCAACTTTGGAGACTTAGTGTACATGGACGCTCACTATAACCTGTACTTTAGAGACAGAGTGGGCGATACTTTTAGGTAGGTGCGATAGTCTGATATCTAGAAGTTAATCTATACATCAATGATATCACTGAAATTCAAATATTACAATTATCATATCCTTAATATGACATTCTTAACTCATTTTTAAAATACACAGATAAATAATTGGGTGATGATACGGGCAAAGGGTGAATATATTGAACAGTGTTTTATATCACTACTACCTGACATAGATATACACTTGTCTAGTGATACGGGCGAAGCGTAGATATACTGAACAGAGTTTTATATCACTACTACCTGATATAGATATATACTTGTTGGATGATACGGGCGAAGGGGAGATATACTGAACAATGTTTAATATAACTACTACCTGAGATAGATATATAATTGTTTGATGATACGGGGGAAGGGTAGATATAAGATATACTGAACAGTGATTTATATCACTACTACCTGATATAGATATATACTTGTTTAGTGATGCGGGCGAAGGGTAGATACACTGAACAGTGTTTTATGTCACTCCTACCTGACATAGATATACACTTGTTTAGTAATACGGGCGAAGGGTAGTTATACTGAACAGTGTTTTACAGCAATACTACCTGACATAGATAAATAATTGTTTAGTGATCCGGGCGAAGGGTAGATATAATGAACAGTGTTTTATATCATTACTACCTTACATAGATATATACTTGCTTAGTGATACGGGCGAAAGGTAGATATACTGAACAGTGTCTTATATCACTGCTACCTGACATAGATATACACTTGTTTAGAGATACGGGCGAAGGGTAGTTATACTGAACAGTGTTTTTTAGCAATACTACCTGACATAGATATATCATTGTTTGGTGATACGGGCGAAGGGCAGATATACTGAACAGTGGTTTATATCACTACTACCTGAAATAGATATATAATTGTTTAGTTATACGGGCTAGTGGTAGATATACTGAACATCGTTTTATATCACTGCTACCTGACATAGATATATACTTGCTTAGTGATACGGGCGAAGCGTAGATATACTGAACAGCGATTTATATCACTACTACCTGATATAGATATATACTTGTTTGATGATACGCGCGAAGGGTAGATATACTTAACAGTGTTTTATATCAGTGCTACCTAACATAGATAATAATTGTTTGGGGATACGGGCGAAGGGTAGGTATACTGAACAGTGTTTTATGTCACTCCTACCTGACATAGATATATTATTGTTTAGTGATACGGGCAAAGGGTGAATATATTCAACAGTGTTTTATATCAGTACTACCTGACATAGATATATGATTGTTTGGCGATACGGGCGAAGGGTAGATGTACTGAACAGTGTTTTATATCACTACTACCTGACATAGATAAATAATTGTTTAGTTATACGGGCTAGGGGTAGATATACTGAACAATGTTTAATATAACTACTACCTGACATAGATATATAATTGTTTAGTGATACGGGCGAAGGGTAGATATACTGAACAGTGTCTTATATCACTGCTACCTGACATAGATATATGATTGTTTGGTGATTCGGGCGAAGGGTAGATATACTGAACAGTGTTTTATATCACTACTACCTGACATAGATATATACTTGTTTGATGATACGGGGGAAGGGTAGATATAAGATATACTGAACAGTGTTTTATATCACTACTACCTTACATAGATATATAGATATACTGAACAGTGTTTTATATCACTACTACCTGGCATAGATATATACTTGTTTGATGATACGGGCGAAGGGTAGATATACTGAACAGTGTCTTATATCACTGCTACCTGACATAGATATATGATTGTTTGGTGATTCGGGCGAAGGGTAGATATACTAAACAGTGTTTTATATCACTACTACCTGGCATAGATATATACTTGTTTGATGATACGGGGGAAGGGTAGATATAAAATATACTGAACAGTGTTTTATATCACTACTCCCTGACATAGATATATACTTGTTTGATGATACGGGGGAAGGGTAGATATAAAATATACTGAACAGTGTTTTATATCACTACTGCCTTACATAGATATATGATTGTTTGGTGTTACGGGCGAAGGGTAGATATACTGAACAGTGATTTATATCACTACTACCTGACATAGATATATGATTGTTTGGTAATACGGGCGAAGGGTAGATATACTGAACATCGTTTTATATCACTGCTACCTGACATAGATATATGATTATTTGGTAATGCGGGCGAAGGGTAGATATACTGAACAGTGATTTATATCACTACTACCTGACATAGATATATGATTGTTTGGTGATTCGGGCGAAGGGTAGATATACTGAAAAGTGTTTTATATCACTACTACCTGACATAGATATATGATTGTTTGGTGATTCGGGCGAAGGGTAGATATACTGAACAGTGTCTTATATCACTGCTACCTGACATAGATATATGATTATTTGGTAATGCGGGCGAAGGGTAGATATACTGAACAGTGTCTTATATCACTGCTACCTGACATAGATATATGATTATTTGGTAATGCGGGCGAAGGGTAGATATACTGAACAGTGATTTATATCACTACTACCTGACATAGATATATACTTGTCTAGTGATACGGGCGAAGGGTAGATATATTGAACAGTGTTTTATATCACTACTCCCTGACATAGATATATACTTGTTTGATGATACGGGGGAAGGGTAGATATAAAATATACTGAACAGTGTTTTATATCACTACTTCCTGACATAGATATATACTCGTTTAGTGATCCGGGCGAAGGGTAGATATACTGAACAGTGTTTTATAGCAATACTACCTGACATAGATATATACTCGTTTAGTGTTACGGGCGAAGGGTAGATATACTGAACAGGGTTTTATATCACTACTACCTGACATAGATATATACTTGTCTAGTGATACGGGCGAAGGGTAGATATATTGAACAGTGTTTTATATCACTACTCCCTGACATAGATATATACTTGTTTGATGATACGGGCGAAGGGTCGATATACTGAACAGTGTTTTATATCACTACTACCTGACATAGATGATAGTGATATTTGCATTCTGCGTAACTAAGTATCAAAGAGGATTTCTTAAGTGTTCATTTGTACGTTAAACCTCACATATCTAGCTGTAAATAAATAATCACACTGTATATTTCCCAATAAACTAAACAAGCAACGAAATGCATTTCCGGACCACAATAATTTTGCATTTTCATTAAAGTTCAATAAACGCCTTATTGAATTATGTACTTTCAATTATTTTTTTATTAATATCACGATATCATTATGATAACTGATATAGTATATTTTATTTAATTATTGTTCTTGAGCTTTAATTCTTACTGTTGATATTTGTGTTCAGCTCCTCAACAAGTGTATTTATTGCATTTAAAAATGGGAACTATATAAATGAAATTTATTTCTGCAAGTGTAGTTAAGCATTTAATCTGCCAGACCCTGCGTCGTCCTGCTGGTTCAACATAATCCGTCACAGAAAGAAACAATATAAAGCATATATATTTCTGTACAATACTGTATATAAATTGTACATTTAGTGTTATTTTTATTTCAAAACATAATTCGCATTCACAGTATTCTTTGATAAGTCTTATGTTAATTGACTACATATTAAATCCATAAATTATTATAGTTCGGTATATTTGTGTACGGATTTAAAAAAGCTGTGCCTGTTGACCAATCCCTTTGTTTATATGACATCTCTTGTTTGTCAAACACAATTCTGAAATAGGAAAAAAATGGAAAAAAAATACAAAAGGTTTTGTTTTAATGAATAGACTGGGTTAAGTTGCTTGTTGTCAATGATGACTCCGACTCTGGTGTTTTGGGGGAAAAGAAATATGGCGACCGCATTTGCCACTTTTGCAATCTCGAATATGTGCTTTCTGAACTATTCGTCGCTAAATACTCGACAAAGCTCAATGTTCAATCTGGATATCGGAGCATAAAGTTCATCACGTACTCGTGTATGCCAGCTTTCAATCCACGTTCAGAAATGATAGACATGAAATGATTAACATTAACAGGAATAAGAGGGTAATCGTGTTCGTCCTGACCACAATTCTAGCTTCAGAGAGATGTTCTTATTCATTCTTAAAAAGGCAGAGCCCTAACAAAATAGAAGAATGAAACCTAATAGAATGCATAAAAACTTGATATATTGTGCAACAGCAAATGTAACTTATATCAATCCCCCCCCCAATTAGATCAAAATGTATATATCTCCAAGACTTTGACATTGCCTGTTTAGTTCACTGCAATTGACTAGTTATTCACATAATGTCAATTCATCACAATCCGATTAACTGCAAAGAAACTCCATGTCCATTTATGTATGCAATATACAGCTGTGTGTTTTAACAGATGGAAAGGGGAAAATGTTTCAACACGGGAAGTGTGTGACGTCATCAGTACACTTCCGTTTACACAGGACGTGAATGTATACGGAGTGCGTGTCCCCGGTAAGTGTGTGACGTCATCGGTACACTTTCGTTTACACAGGACGTGAATGTATACGGAGTGCGCGTCCTCGGTAGGTGTGTGACGTCATCGGTACAATTCCGTTTTCACAGGACGTGAATGTATACGGAGTGCGCGTCCCCGGTAAGTGTGTGACGTCATCAGTACACTTCCATTTACACAGGACGTGAATGTGTACGGAGTGTGCGTCCTCGGTAAGTGTGTGACGTCATCAGTACACTTCCATCTACACAGGACGTGAATGTGTTCTGAGTGCGCGTCCCCGGTAAGTGGGTGACGTCATCAGTACACTTCCATGTACGCAGGACGTGAATGTGTATGGAGTGCTCGTCCCCGGTAAGTGTGTGACGTCATCAGTAAACGTCCCCGGTAAGTGATTTCATTTTTTCAGATGAACTCTGCGATATCTTTGGTCCGCTTACTAAATTAGCAATAGGCCAATGACCTCGAAGTTTGTACACAAGCTTTTTACAGACAAAACCCAGCGTTTCATACCGTGTACTAAACTGTCCTATCCAGAGACAAAGCCAAGCGTTTCAGACCATGTACTAAAATATTGTATCCAGAAACAAAAACCAAAACTCAGCGTTTCAGACCATGTACTTAAATGTCGTATCTAGAGACAAAACGTTGTGTTTCAGACCATGTACTTAAATGTCCTGTCTATAGACAAAACGTTGTGTTTCAGACCATGTTCTTAAATGTCGTATCTAGAGATAAAACGTTGTGTTTCAGACCATGTACTTAAATGTCCTATCTAGAGACAAAACGTTGTGTTTCAGACCATGTATTTAACTGTCGTATCTAGAGATAAACCGTTGTGTTTCAGACCATGTACTTAAACGTCCTGTCTAGAGACAAAACGTTGTGTTTCAGACCATGTACTTAAACGTCCTGTCTAGAGACAAAACGTTGTGTTTCAGACCATGTATTTAACTGTCGTATCTAGAGATAAACCGTTGTGTTTCAGACCATGTACTTAAATGGCGTATCTTTAGATAAAACCTGGTGTTTCAGACCATGTACTTAAATGTCCTGTCTATAGACAAAACGTTGTGTTTCAGACCATGTTCTTAAATGTCGTATCTAGAGACAAAACGTCGTGTTTCAGACCATGTACTTAAATGTCCTATCTAGAGACAACGTTGTGTTTCAGACCATGTACTTAAATGGCGTATCTTTAGATAAAACCTGGTGTTTCAGACCATGTACTAAAATGTCGTATCTAGAGACAAAACGTTGTGTTGCAGACCATGTACTTAAATGCCGTATCTAGAGACAAAACGTTGTGTTGCAGACCTTGTACTAAAATGTCGTATCTAGAGACAACGTTGTGTTTCAGACCATGTACTTAAATGTCCTATCTAGAGACAAAACGTTGTGTTTCAGAACATGTACTTAAATGTCGTATCTAGAGACAAAACGTCGTGTTTCAGACCATGTACTTAAATGTCCTATCTAGAGACGACGTTGTGTTTCAGACCATGTACTTAAATGGCGTATCTTTAGATAAAACCTGGTGTTTCAGACCATGTACTTAAATGTCCTGTCTAGAGACAAAACGTTGTGTTTCAGACCATGTTCTTAAATGTCGTATCTAGAGACAAAACGTCGTGTTTCAGACCATGTACTTAAATGTCCTATCTAGAGACAACGTTGTGTTTCAGACCATGTACTTAAATGTCGTATCTTGAGATAAAACCTGGTGTTTCAGACCATGTACTAAAATGTCGTATCTAGAGACAAAACGTTGTGTTGCAGACCATGTACTTAAATGTCGTATCTAGAGACAAAACGTTGTGTTTCAGACCATGTACTAAAATGTCGTATCTAGAGATAAAACCTGGTGTTTCAGACCATGTACTTAAATGTCGTATATAGAGACAACGTACTTAAATGTCGTATCTGGATTTAATTTTCAGATTCAGACGGACGCGCTGGAATGGCTGCTATTTCTTTGAAGGGCGAAAAAGACGTACAACCAGAAATGCTCCAGGCGATATTTCGTATCTGTGAAACAGACCTCCCAGCCTACGCTCGCCCCTTATTCTTACGCTTCCAAAAAGAGTTTGTAGTCACACAAACGATGAAACATCGTAAAGTAGATTTAATCGGTGACGGTTTAGATCTGGGTAAAATAACAGACCCGGTGTACTATCTAGACGTGGTCAAACGTACTTACTCACCACTAACCTGGGACAATTACCAACACGTTGTGACGTCACGTTTGTAGCACATTGTGTCCTCACTATTTAAATACATTGTGACGAATTGTTGAAAGAGAAGCATGTACCTGCTCCCCCAGATCCGTTGGGTGTAGCTGACATGGAGTGCACAACCCTGATACGATGTAATTAGTAGTTAAGTGAACAGTTTGATACAGTACGGTAAACGAGAGGATAGTCATTATCGACTGATAACATGGGGCCATGTATTGACTAGTTTAGACCGATGTCTAATGTTGTGGATGGACAGTGGTCGAATGGGTCAAGAACAACCCATACCTAGTACTTATGTGACAGATAGTAGTATTCACATCAATGAGCTTGTACTCACAAATTAATTTTCCTATTTTTAGCGTCATATATATTTTCACAAACTGTTTGATATTTTTTTATTTTATTATATCAATATAGCTTGGTATACAGGCTCTATCAAAAACGTTTTCTGCACTCAAGATTAAATTGAATTGTTTACAACTTTTCTTAATAGACTGACATATATTTTCCTTTTCTTAATAGACTGACATATATTTTCCTGATCTTAATAGACTGACATATATTTTCCTGATCTTAATAGACTGACATATATTTTCCTGATCTTAATAGACTGACATATATTTTCCTGGATCAATAAGTTGTCCGCTACTATAATGATTTTAAGCTTTGAAAACTAACTTGACACATTTCTTATGTCCTTTATCAAACCATTTTCTGACAAAACAACTCATCATCAATACAATAAAGTACATTATACCAGAAAGGAAATGTTAGAACTTGTAATTGTTCAATAGATTGCACATTTGTTGCTTCTGAAACATCAACAACCAAAGCCAGAAAAAACAATATTTGTCTGAATTTTTTAATGAAATCAATATCCATGTCTGTTTTTATTTTATTCTTCTGTGAAGTCCAACTGCTGCTATTAATTTTAAGTGGATTGCCGACTAGAAATAAAAAAAGTTGATGCATACCATGTTAAGACGTCAATGTACATACTATTTGGTGAAGTATATGGTTTCATTTTGTTTAGTGGATATTGCTAAATGATGTTAAACAAGAGATCCCTCCATAAAATCTTCATAAGTTCTATGTTATTGTATCTTTCCCATTATTTCTCTTCTCTGTCTTCTTTCATCTGTTGGAGGGATAGTCTTGTCAATGTTGCAATTTGTTGTAACTTTTGATTGAAATTTCATATCGAATCCCAAAAATATAAGTGGTCTGTTTAATGAGAAACCTTTTCTAGTTTCTATGTATCACTCCCAGAGAGTTTCTTTGTATCACTCCCAGAGAGTTTCTATGTATCACTCCCAGAGAGTTTCTTTGTATTACTCCCAGAGAGTTTCTATGTATCACTCCCACAGAGTTTATATGTATCACTCCCAGAGTGTTTCTATGTATCACTCCCAGAGAGTTTATATGTATCACTCCCAGAGAGTTTCTATGTATCACTCCCAGAGAGTTTCTATTATCACTCCCAGAGAGTTTCTATGTATCACTCCCGGAGAGTTTCTATGCATCACTCCCAGAGAGTTTCTATGTATCAATCCCAGAGAGTTTCAATATATCAATCCCAGAGAGTTTCTATATATCACTCCCAGAGAGTTTCTATATATCACTCCCAGAGAGTTTCTTTGTATCACTCCCAGAGAGTTTCTATGTATCACTCCCAGAGAGTTTCTATGTATCACTCCCAGAGAGTTTCTATGTATCACTCCCAGAGTTTTTTTGTATCACTCCCAGATAGTTTCTATGTATCACTCCCAGAGAGTTTCTTTGTATCACTCCCAGAGAGTTTCATTGTATCACTCCCAGATAGTTTCTATGTATCACTCCCAGAGAGTTTCTTTGTATCACTCCCAGAGTTTCTTTGTATCACTCCCAGAGTTTCTTTGTATCACTCCCATAGAGTTTTTATGTATCACTCCCAGAGAGTTTCTTTGTATCACTCCCAGATAGTTTCTATGTATCACTCCCAGAGAGTTTCTTTGTATCACTCCCAGAGAGTTTCATTGTATCACTCCCAGATAGTTTCTATGTATCACTCCCAGAGAGTTTTTTTGTACCACTCCCAGATAGTTTCTATGTATCACTCCCAGAGAGTTTCTTTGTGTCACTCCCAGATAGTTTCTTTGTATCACTCCCAGAGAGTTTCTTTGTATCACTCCCAGAGAGTTTCTATGTATCACTCCCAGAGAGTTTCTTTGTATCACTCCCAGATAGTTTCTATGAATCACTCTCAGAGAGTTTCTATGTATCACTCGCAGAGAGTTTCTTTGTATCACTCCCAGAGAGTTTCTATGTATCACTCCCAGAGAGTTTCTTTGTATCACTCCCATAGAGTTTCTATGTATCACTCCCATAGAGTATCTATGTATCACTCCCAGAGAGTTTCTGTGTATCACTCCCAGAGAGTTTCTATATATCACTCCCAGAGAGTTTCTATGTATCACTCTCAGAGAGTTTCTATGTATCACTCCCAGAGAGTTTCTATGTATCACTACCAGAGAGTTTCTTTGTATCACTTCCAGAGAGTTTCTATGTATCACTCCCTGAGAGTTTCTATGTATCACTCCCAGAGAGTTTCTTTGTAATTTAACACATACTTTTTGCTAATTTGTCCAGGCAGGACTTGTAAAAAAATATAAAAAGTACAATGACTCTTGAGGAAAAGTTTAAAACAAAAACATAAATTATATTGAGGCACTACATTATATACCACTCATGAATTTAAATTATTGTTGAAGCTTGCTTACTAATTTACAAGGAAGTTGTCCAGACAGGATTCTATCAAGGGACGGAGAGGCAGACATGCCGATTACTGGGTTCCTACTTAACGTTGTGCATGTTTTGATTTAAGCTTCAAGAGGGGTAAATGGCTCATTAAATCCTTTCTTGACATTTGATCCCAAACAGAACTCTACGCTGATATTTGACCTCGACACATTATCTTAGAACAGATTCATGCTTCTTACAACAACAAAAATTGATTCAGGACAGCAGAGGACACGTAGATGAAAGGGATGGTGATATGAGCAGCCCACCATCCGACTTCTATAGTTAATTTGATACTCAGATGCCACTTTAAGCATTGCAAGTTTTGTACACAAAAACACAGCTTTAATATTCTATTCTATATTGATAAAGGAAAACCTCACAAGCTTCAACCCGACTTTGGCACTACCATGGTAAGATCATTGTTAGTTCTAGGGCAGACACCTTCTTTTTGTGATCAGTACCAAAACTTAACAACTACAATATGGACCAACAAAAACCTACTAATGGAATCAGAGTAAAGATTCTTCCAGTACTTAATAGCAATGAGAAACTTAAACTGTCAAAATCAAGATGGCCACCTCACAGCCCTTTTTTTTTTTTTTTTTTTTTTTTTTTTTACCATCTGGAGAAACATACGTAATGAAGTATGAATGTATCATGCAGTACTTCTTCAGAAATAGTAACAACAAGATTTGTTTAAGGACAGACAACAGATAATTTAAACAGCCGTAGATGACAGGCTAATAAAAATGATAACCAACTGTCACTTATTTAGTAACCTTTATTTATACAATCATGTAAAATGTATAATTATTAAGATGACATTGTCTACATATAGATAAAGTTAATGTTTCATTATCATCATTTTATATTCAATTGTTGGACCGCACATCAGCTCACTATGCGACGATGGACAAATGATATTTGCAAAAGCAAAATTTGCTAGCATAAATTGAGAAAAGATTTAACAATAACAAGCCATTCGGATTGATATGTCTCGCCTGTGACCCGCTTTGACCATCAATGCACATACCAGAGAAACTAACCTAAATGCAAAAACTTGATGGAGATGCTGACAAAGTCAATGGACCATGAAAGGTAGGCCGCATCCAGCATTTGATGCATGGGTTGAGATGTACTACCTAAGATGCATCTATGGTCCAAGTTTGGTTGGTCTAGCACTTATAACTTCCAGTGAAACTAAGTTAAACGCAAAAACTTAATGTTGATGCTGCTGCCCTCGCCGGAAAAAGGTGTGTTGCTTCCACTTGGTGGCGGTGAGACAAAAATGATTTCGTTTTTAATATGGATAAAATAGTAGCCTTAAGCTTGTACCATGATATGATTTCTCATCTGAGGCAGGGCACTTAATTAGAGGCTACAAAATAACGTAAATGAGATAATACTTTGTTACTTTTCAATATTATTTCTGTTTTAAATGTTTTACTTATTTCTCACTAATTCAGAGAAACAATTTCACAAGTTTTGACCAAATCTCGCTAAAAAAATCACTATCTTACTATTTTGCACCAGAAAGTTATGGCATGTACGTATACGCACTTCCCTAATTGTCAGGCACAAGCCAGCCAAATCTCACAGTTACTTATCAAACTGTGATTTGCCGGCTCTGTTGCCAGGAAGTCAGGGCCCGTTCTCGAACGTTTCAGTCAATCTAATACTTTGTAACACTCATTAGAAAATTTGGCGTCATGCCTAAATACACAGAAATGAAACATCTACAATTAATGAACCTTATTTCAAACAAGTCTTCCAGTTATTGTTTATTCCGTTACATTGATCAACCAATTGTACCAACTGCACATTTGTGCAGACATTAGCATACAATTGGTGAACAATCTTCAATCACATGATTGAGCACACCATTAGCGGACAGTGTGTGTACATAGTGTGCATGCTATATTTGGTACAATGCGGTCACACAATTGTATATTTCTTTTGGAATTGTGCATAGTTACATTTCTTCACAAATTAAATGTTATCACAGTTTTTTTAAGTTCAAGGTTAAAATACATAACAAACATTTAAATCCAATTAATTCAACCTTGCAATAATGCACCATTAAACCATATAATAATCCTTGTTACATCATCAAATTATTGATCATTGAACAAATTTCAATTCATCATGTAAAAGTTTAATATTTACATTTGCATGGCATTGTCACAATATAGCCTCTTTGAAAGCTGTGTCGTTGATGGGACTTAATTACCATGCAGCACGAGACACAATTCTGAGACACAATTCTTAGCGTATTAATACAACACTGACCGGAACTTCAATATCCAATGTAAATAAACATGACGGCTACTGAAATATCGCTGGACATTGTGAGACTTGACAATGTCATTGTAAATTTATGTACAAAAGAAAAAAATAAATAAAAAATACTTTTATTACAACAAAAACAAGACCAATGTCTGCAATATCGTACAAAATGCACATCGGTTGAAATCACCAATGCCGGCAATGGAAACAATTTTAACACTCATGCTATTTATCAGAAATATCGTCTGTTACACTGCACTGATCAACAAGGGACAAATGTCTAAAATACACATATTCTATAGACCTACTGACACATATGTTACAGACCTACTGATATGAGTCAAAGCACACATAAACATTTCAGACATTTGTAACGAACCCCTGACAGCCCTGTGCTCCGTCGCAAGATCACTCACTTCAAACCCTATTATCAGTTTCACGCGTCTCTCAGCCACGGTTATTCAGTTACTGACGACATGTCAAATAACGAGGCTGTTATAGAATCTACCGACTATAGTCAGATTCCAATACAATCAACAAATAAATTCACATCTGGATTCTTCACAAAATGAGCAAAGAGAAAAGTTCAAATTAAAAATAACTCCCTCATGGAGGTCAAGGTTGGATTTACGGTATTCACTGTATTTATCCATGCACGAATTTGTTCCGGGGAAAATCAAAAGATTTGAAACAATTTCAAATCTAACTTTCAGCTCAGAGTTCTATTGATAAACTTAAATCACCCTATAGACATATCATACGCCATTGTATTGATACTGAATTGTGGAATAAAATTGAAGTGTTTGTTAAAAATTCAAAGTACATGTACCACTTTGTTTGCCAATCAGCACGCGACAATACGCTGTTCAAACTATTGAACGAAATTGTGTGGACTGTCGATAAGGCGGGCATTCTTAATTTTAAATATAAATAATAAGTTAAAAAAGAACATAAGAGGCAGAGAAAATGTAAATATAAGTAATGAACTGTTTTTGTATGGTATTTATGATCTATTTGAATGACAAAGCTTTGCAAGCAAACAAATCATAATGCGCGCTACATACAAAAACAGTTCAATGCTTAAATATTTACCTCTCAACCATCTAATAATCCAACTTTCAACCATTCATAATTCAACACAGCAACAATCAATTGACAAAAAAAGAATGAGTACTAATATGCCTTCCTTTATTTGAAGGGGACAAAATATATACCACTCAATTTTATAATAGCAGTTTTTGTATCACAGTATAATATAAACAAAACTCAAACAGAATTGTTTCCAAAATATAGGTAAAGTCTTCATTTTGTGTGATCAACAATTATCTCATTAACAGTTCAGGTATTTAAAATTATTCCAATATATATATAACAAGGGAAAACAGTCCACTTGAGCATGTTTGTGACCATTACATTGTAGTGACTTTACATCCTCAAATCAAAGGGACTCTTTGGTTCCCCGATCAAAGTGATCTGTTTATCCTCCAATCTACTGTATAAATCCTAAGTGAGCTTACAAAAATGAATGCATGTACTTCATTAGGTAAATTGGTTCTGTTTATATCAGTTAAAGCACCTTTAGTGATTGTTAATGTAATACATCAGAGGTTGGCAGTCATTCTGACCCAGGCTTTGATGATCTGGTGTGCAATGGCCTGTTCTGGGGGTATATACAGTCCCTGCGGGTGCTGCTTTGTCAGCATCTGGACCAACTCAGACCGACGAAACCATTGAACATCTTCCATCTCATCCTCGCCAACCTGCAGCACAAATAGTATTGTAATTTTCAGGCTCAGAAAAGTCTATATTGAAACATGTCGGATTACTTATATTTTCCTATCTTTTGTACATAATTTTATTTTATTCAAAATAAGTTGTTTAAAGGTTTTTACATATTTAATCCCTGTGAACTTGAAAGCAGGTCAAGGTCATTTTTTTGAGAAAAACTTTATAGCACTCTGTCCCAGGAACCTATTGGCCAAATATCATGGCCCTAGGTTCTCGAGTAAGAAGAGGTTTGTCTAGTTATCCATTTAATATAGAAATGAACTTCAGTAATATACCCACAGAAATATGTGACCCTTGGCCTCTTGTCTTTTTCTGGTTATAATTGTACCTGAACTCCTGACTATGTGAATGATAGCTTTGTTCAACTTATTCAGGGATACAAGGAGTAAAACTGAAGGAAGCAAACATTTCCTATTCTTCATTATGCTGAGTCATATACCTAATTAAGTTCGTATATTTTTTATCAGACTGATTTTGCAAAAAAGATACTATTTCTTACAAGCATAAAGTTAAAACATTGTACCTTGATGTTCTCAGAGGTAGCATGTGCTAAACAGCCCAGCATGAGGGAGCAAGGGAAGGGCCATGGTTGTGATGAGTGGTAGTCGACACGGCCAACCCGCACTCCACTCTCCTCATAAACCTCTCGTCGACAGGTGTCCTCTAGAGCCTCACCTGATAACAAGTAGAAACTGACTCAGTCATAACATTCATGTGTGTTTTATACATTGCTCTAATACACTTATTTACTCTTATAACTCTGTTTTACTGGTATCATACATGTCAACTATCCATCTTTGAGACGACTAAGTGTCCCTCGGAACCCCAATATTTACCTGTCAATCCCTCTGAGGGAGTAGGACCCAGTCTGGTCCCCCTATCTTATCATTCTGACCAGAAATGTCCCTCGTAGAGGACAATGCCAACTTTTTGATAACATATAATGCAAACAGTATTATAAATAACACTTTATAACACCTCTAAAAGATGTTTGAAAAACAGTCAAACCTTGGAGTCGGTTCCTGAACCCGCACAAACAATTACAAACTTAGGGTTCATACTAAACTTAATCAGTATGACAGTATCGCTGTCTCAGAAAAAGGCCCAAAAGCTGCCGATATCAGCTGTGTTCGGTTGATGATTTCAAGTTTCCTATGAACAGATCCAGATGTTGTCAGTGGAAAGTAGGTCAAGGCTTACACAGGTGGGTAAAAGCATTGAGAGTTTATAAAATGTAACATCACATAGACTTAGACATGGAATAACTCGAACATCTGATGCCTCTAAAGGAGGATTGGGCGACATAGAAAGGACTAAAAGCAGTGGGTAACAGTCAAACCCTACTGGCTGTAAGAATGTTTCAAAAGGACATATCAGAATAAAAGACAGCTATTGCTTACATCACACACATGGGTGGGAAACTCCACAATGTAACAGACTTGCCAAAGAGATTTGGTGATGGTGTATACCGTACCTATAAGATTAGGTGATGGTGTATACCTAAGAGATTTGGTGATGGTGTAAACCGTACCTAAGAGATTTGGTGATGGTGTATACCTAAGAGATTTGGTGATGGTGTAAACCTAAAAGATTTGGTGATTGTGTAAACCTAAGAGATTTGGTGATGGTGTATACCTAAGAGATTTGGTGATGGTGTATACTTGTAAGATTTGGTTATGGTGTAAACCTAAAAGATTTGGTGATGGTGTATACCTCAAATATTTAGTGATGGTGTAAACCTAAAAGATTTGGTGATGGTGTATACCTAACAGTTATCAGCAGCTTACAGACAAGGCTGATGCAGACTGTTGTTTAGAACATGAAAATACAGCGTGTTAACTCAGTAGTGAACAGAATTCGAATCAAGTTTTTGAACTAACAGGTAAGCCTGTTTAAGTTTGAATTCTGTTAAGTCCTGTTATTTTGTACTTAATGTTAGGCTTGTTTTCTCAAAAATATATTAGGTAACACTACAAAACAGTGTTGTTTAAATACCAGGTATTTCATTTTACCTGGTTCCATGAAACCAGCAAGGCAGGAGTACATCTTGGCAGGAAACTGTTTCTTCCTTCCCAGCAGACATCTCTTTCCATCAGGGGAGACAACTAGCATAATCACAGATGGGTCTGTACGAGGGTAGCACGTGTTGTGAATGCCTGAAATTTCAATATTCCGTCAGATATCTTCCTAACAATAGACAATAGACCAAACTGAAGAAATCAATGATCATTTAGTGTTACACATTTATTTCTGAACTGGTGGAGACTTTGATCAGAAATAATGAAGAAGCAAAAAGTGAATTCCACCTTTAGTTAAATGAACAGGAGATTTCAACAAGAGGCCCAATGGGCCTGCGTCGCTCACCAGTTAATATCACACTTGTAACCTTAAAGTGATCTAAAATAAAACTACAGGCAAAAATGTCAGTATTTATGACTATAAGTCATTCAAAAGAACCTGTTAAAGATTTTAAAACATTTGACTCCTGTGATCTTGAAAGTCGAACAAGGTCATTACATTGAACAAACTCTATAGCCCTTCATCTCAGCATGCAACTTGCCAAATATCACAAACCCTAGACCTTTTGTTCTTTTTAAGGTTTATACATATTTGACCAAATGTGACCTTGAAGATAAGTCAAGGTCATTCATTTTAACAAACTAGGTAGCCATTTATCCTAGCATGCTACTGGCCAGATATCAACATTCTATACCTAATGGTTATTCAGAAGAAGGTTTTTAAAGTTTTTAACATATTTGACCCCTATGACCTTGAATTTAAGTCAAGGTCATTCATTTGAACAAACTTAGTAGCCCTTCATCCTAGCATGCTACTGGCCAGATATCACCATCCAGGGCCTTTTCGTTATTCAGAAGAAGTTGTTTAAAGATTTTGAACATATTTGACCCATGTGACCTGGAATAAAGCTCAAGGTCATTCATTTTTACAAACTTGGTAGCCCTTCATCCTAGCATGTTACGAGTAATTAGCATCATCCCACACCTTTTGGTTATTTAGAAGAAGTGGTTTAAATATTTTAAACATATTTAACCCCTCTGATCTTTAATACAGGTCAGTGTCATTCTTTTTAACAAACTTTGAAAAAAATTGTAGAATGCAAATTCTGAATTGGAAAACACTTTTTTTTTAGCATGATAACAAAGCATACCATGCTTCATTCAAGATTGGAAAAAAACCTGAATGAGGAGACAAAAAATGTTTATAGAGGAACAACGACATACAATAGTATGTCTCATCATAATATGTCTTGCAATTAAATGCAGGATGGTAATCCTTGTTCTGGAATGACAACTTTCTTAGATATTGATAGTTGGAATAACTTAATTCAGTCCATAGCTATTGTAACAAGAAATTTTATACTTACAGGCCTAGGGAGTTTTAAAATTAAGTCAAGTTAGAATTGGGTCTAATTTCCTCATTGATATTTGCCTACCCTTGTTTGTGCGGCATGATTTGTTGTCACAGATGCGTTTATAGCCACCCTCTGCCACTGTTGTGGCACTACCACAGGTGGCACAGAACTTGTAGCGGTCCAACCAGTCTAACAAAGAGCGAGCCTCTGCAAAAATCCCAGCGTCGCTTGGCTCCAACTGCATTAACACATGGTAGCTGGTGGTGAATTCTGCCTCCCCTACAAGAGTCTTGAATTTAGACTCATCTGTGTCAGTTACATCAAGGGCAAATAATGCTTGTCCAGCCTCATCTAGTACAGTACTGTTATCTTTAGTAGACTCATCACTTTCTACTCCTAGGAAAACGAGCAGTGGATTGGTTTTTAATAGAAATTCTATGTCACTGTAGGCCAGACGGACAAGTGTGTACTTGTATCTCTGTGTAGCATCACCACTGAGACGAACTAAAGGCTTCAAGTCTGAAAATATAATAAATCTAGTGGTTTCTTTCTTCAGTCTGCTTTGGAGCCAGTCTTTATCCTTCCGGTTCTCTGCCATACGATCTAAGTTGTTCAGAGAGAAGTAGTTCCGTAGCTGTTTATCTGGATTTTCCTTTTTAATAAAATCGGTCAGCATATTGGCAGCCTTCTTTTGGTCCCAGAAAACAGCTATATCTTCAGCTGTCTGTCCAGTCTTGTTTACCAAATTTATATCACACCTGTACAACAGAATTTAAATCTGGGTTAACTTACATAATTTTTTGGAAAAGGTACTTGTTTTTATTTTTTTAGTTACAAAATGTGTGCTTGCAGCAATCGTTGTTAAAGGGCACAGAAATACCGGACCTGAACATGGATAAGGCACAGGAATACCTGAACATGGATTTGAGCTATTTGTGGGATGTGGATATGACCGATACCCTATAAACTATATACATTGTACTTGATTTATTAAAACAAGATTATTAAATAGGTAATACAATGTTACCCTTTTTGAAGGAGTGCTTCAATCACATGCACTTGTCCATTACGAGCAGCAAGCATAAGTGCCGTCCATCCTTTATCATTACGATGATCTGAATTGAATGTGGCTGTAAATACAAACATGCCAATTTAAACCAACTTTAGATCATTCACACAAACAGAAACTTGCTTTCAGACCAAAAGTGTCTATATAGGTAAGATATTTCTACAGCTGTACTGTAGGCCTGTTGGAGTAATCGTGCTCAAGTCCAGGAAGCGGTATAGAACAAATCGGAGAACAGTTTATTGCCGGTCCCTTTAACCATTTCACCCCTAAGTAACTTATATATAATTAAGTAGACTCTACTATACATTCATCTGGATGAGTCTATTATGGTCTACAGTGGTGAATGGGTTAACTAGTATAAATGAAATCCGGCACTAGTCTCTTCTCTATGTGACATTGTAACATATATCTAAACCATTGGCATTTTATTGTGTATTGGGAATACTTCTACAATATAGACTGTACCTTGTAAGAGGAACTTCAGTTCTTCCACGTTTCCATTTGCAGCACAGTCAAAGTATTTATCTTCAAAGCTCTTCTTGGTATCTGATGGTCCTGTTCGATCTGTGCTGCTCATCCTGACCACAAATCTACAATGTCTGATAATGTTTTAGCCAGATGATTAATTGGAAAATACATTCAATGATATTGAAAATTTATTATCGAAAATTGGTTTTGCTTCTCATCTTACTGCTGAGCCCAGATGTTTACTGATCGGATCCATTAATTTATATATCACCTAGGTAAACAATGTCATGGGTAGCATTAAACAACTACCAGGTGCTAAGATTACACACAAAAGTGAGTCATACTTCAGTGTGTAGACTAGGACAATACATAAACAAGAGGCTCAATGGGTCTGTATTGCTCTAGGACAATACATAAACAAGAGACTCAATGGGCCTGTATTGCTCATCTATTACTAATCCCACAGCAGAAACCTTGAAAGATAACGGTAACTAAGGACCAAGATATTAAAATGAGCTACGATAGGCCAAATATTGTGGGCGGTTTTGTAATTAAGAAGAAATTGTTCTTAAGACCTTTAAAACATTTCATTTTTCCGATCTTGAAGTATAGTCAAGGTCATTTATTTGAACAAATGTAGACGCCATTTTTCCTCCAAGCTACTAGCCTTATATCATCACCGTGGAACTTTTGGATGTTAAAAGATAATAAATGTTAAAAAATTTCGCCCTTGTGACCTTGAAGGTGGGTCAAGGTAATTCATTGGTACAAACTTAATAATTGATACTTCATTCCAGCATGCTATTGGCAAAATATATCACCAGACTGGGACTTTTTGTTATTGAGAAGATGTTGTTTGAAGATTTTAACACATTTGACTTCTGTGACCTTAAAAGTCAGTCAAGGTCATTCATTTGAACAAACTTGGTAATCCTTAATCCAAGCATGCTACTGGTCACATATCATTATCTCCGGCCTTGCGGTTATTTAGAAAAATTTGTTAGGAGAAATTTTAAACATTTGACCAAGTAACCTTGAAACTATAGGCAGATATAATTATCACCTTGGGATTTTTGGTTATTGTACTTTGGAACATTTGAATAGCTATAAATGTACAAGTCCAATTTTTCCAATCTTTTTATATAAGTTCCAATCTTTAATTCGGATTTTTGAATATAACCTATCAGAGTTGAAATTAAGGATGATTGTAGCCTCTTTCAGGGAGCGTGTTAAACCTGAACGGCATCGAAACCAAGGATATTATATCAACATATAGAATACCAGTAGCGCACTATCCTTAGAATTCAACACATTCATTTAACAGCTAGAGTACTGTACCAGCTGTGTATATATTTGTAGAATCAGCACATTCAAAATTGAACAGCAATAGTACTATATATCCATGGAATTTAACACATTTCAACAGTTAGAGTACTGTACCAGCGGTGTATAAATCCGTGGATTTAATACATTTAAAATTCAACAGCTAGAGTACTCTTTTGGAGTGACTGATATCGCACTATGCTGGATACAGTCATACCTGAGTGAACGACGACAATGTGTTGCCATCCGATCTGCCACCTCACATGACAAAGTACTAGATTTCGGGGTTCCTCAAGGGTCGGTGTTAGGACCACAAAAATATTGTATGTACTCCAAACCGATTGGAAAGATTTGTCGTCGCCATAGCCTTCGCTATCATTGATATGCCGATGACACACAAATTTACATAGTCATAAAACCACAGGACAGTTGGAATACAGTCTCAGAAAGTCTGGAAGCTTGTCTGACAGATATCAGTATCTGGATGAACGCCAACATGCTTAAACTTAATCAAGAAAAGAAGGAACTAATCATCTTTTCCCCAAAGTGTCAGCAAACAATGGCTCTCCAGCTCAAGGTTGGTGCCAGAACTATTGAGACTGTTCCAGCTGTTAAAAACCTAGGGGTATACTTTGACAGTTCTCTGAACATGGAGAAACAAGTGAACGCTATTGCCAAATCCTGTTACTACCAGATCAGGAACATCGGCTGTATTCGGCAGTTTCTAACTGCAGATGCATGCAAGATTTTGGTGCATTCACTTGTTACCTCTCGGTTGGATTATGGTAACGCCCTGCTCTGTGGTATATCTGACAAACTAACTAGTCGTCTGCAGAGGGTCCAGAACACTGCAGCACGGCTAGTTACTCGTACTCGAAAGAGAGAGCACATCACACCTGCGCTTTATTCGTTGCACTGGTTACCTGTACGATACAGGTCGCAGTACAAAATTCTGGTATACACATACAAGGCACTGAATGGAACAGCTCCTCAGTACCTACAGGAACTTGTTACCCTGTATCAGCCGTCAAGATCACTGCGGTCGGAGTCAGAATCTTTGTTGTGTGTCCCAAAATCTCGTACTGTGACCTACGGAAACAGATGCTTTGGGAGGGTTTCGGCTACGTTGTGGAATAGCTTACCATCTGCTATTAGGAAGTCAAATACCCTGGCCAAGTTCAAGAGGGACATAAAAACTCACCTCTTCACGTCTGCATTTTAGAATCTTTGCAAAGACTTCATGTAAATACCACCCTTTTATTTGTTCAATTATGTGCACATTGCTTGTTAAATGTATGAAAGTGATTGCAAGCCTTTGTTGTTTGTTTTCACAATTATAACAATTACTAATTATCCATATGTTGCAAAGCGCCTTAAGAGTAATTTTACAAAATATATCGGGCGCTATATAAATGTTGTATATTATTATTATTACTGTACCAGCGGTGTATATATCTGTGGAATTTAACAGTCAAAATTCAACAGCTCTCCTGTCTAATTCTTGTGTAATTTTCTGTATCTCCTTTTCAGCTGGGTCTGCAAAAGTGTTGCTTTAATCGTTAGATTTGGTCTCATATTTTCGTCTTTCATTTCCAAAATGTCACTCAAGACACCATCAAATAAAACCTGGTTCTCAGAAGTCCATAAATTTTGACTGAGTTATAAAAATAACCTCCTCGGTGTCAGAGAACATTGTGTCATGTGAACACATGTGCACTCACATATTCCAAAAGCATGCATGAGCTTTAAAAAATGTGCATGAGTGTGACAATAGGTTCACCTTATACTGTCCAATTAATGTGACCGGGTGGAATAGTGTGCTGGGTGCCTTTGGCATGGTATATCAGTGAGGTATGTTATGGATATAAGCCGAAAACTGTCCAATAAGTGAGAGAAAGGACAGTTATCGAGGCCCATCAGCATATTGGACACTTGTGACATCATCGGTATATATGTTTTAAGTACATTTAAAACTCTTAAGTCTTTATCAGATCCACAGTATCGTAATGTGGCAAATATACATCAACATTCCTGGCTCCAGCACACATACATTATACACATGGATGCATGTCCTCATATCACCTAACTTTGGCCTGTATCGCTCAGCTGAATATTTAAGCAAAACATTCTCATTAAATAATGTCCTGTTCTACAAATATTTCACTCGCAAACTTTGCAGACTCCATCAGTTGAAACAAATATGATGACTTAAGGCCTGTCCATTCTTCAGAAGAAGTTGTTGAAAGTAAAAGTTAACGGACGACGATGGACGCTGAACCATGACATTAAAGCTCACTCTCACTTAATTGCCCTTTGCGCAGGTAAGCTAAAAAACTAAACCATTACCAAAACCAAAGAATAATCCATAAAAGAAACTGAAAATAGATGACATTTATTGAACAATGATTATGAGTGTCGCTGATTAAGTTATATTTTGCTTTTTTATAAGTTGATGATCATATGATATGATGTTACCGTCACATAAAGTGACCCCAGGGAAATTTACTAACTACCAACCAAGTTATCTGCGTATGAATCACACAGTATATATATATGTCATCATGATCATCTGTTATGAACTTCTGTCATCAGCGACAGCCAGCTGACAGTTAACTAATCGGGTGTTCATACTTGTATACCATTACTTGACAGTAATTTACTTGTCCAATGTGTCTTACCTGTTGACTGTGCTCGGTTTTCTGACGATGAACTGCCAAACTCGGAGGCAGGTAAACATGTGCATTCAATATGTCAAAGTTCACTTTTATTTATAAGCGTTTGCATTGAATGATGCAGTAATCATGATGGGGGGATGTAAAACAAGGATAAAATAAATAAGGCCTAAGTTTTAAAAAAAGTAACATATAAGTAATTGATTCTGTTTTCGGGATAATATTCAATTAATTAGAATCTATATAAGAAATAAAAAGTATTGGTCTAGGAAACTGATTATAAAGTAACGGCAGTGCTTTTACTCCTAATACACAGCATCTATCCGAATCCGGGCCGTTCCGTTCGCACAACGGGTCGTTTCGCCTATATATTTTAAAAGTCATAAATAACATATCAACGTTGTAGAAATCTGGACAATGTATAATAAAAGAACAGAAACGATAACAGAGATTTTAAATGTGACTTTTTAAGCCATACACAACTGAACAAGCTAGAAAAAACACGCTCTAAATCGGGCGCGTCTAATTACCCAATACTACCCAATACTACCACATACGACCCACATATGTACCAAATACTTCATTATTACTGTGAAATATCACCTTTGTAGACGTAATTTACTCCATCTGCCATAAATTATCGGGAAATATATGATTTTGTGCCGAAATCATCGCCGAATTGCCGTGATTTTGACCCAATACTACCCAATAGTACACCCTACGTCGATTTAATGAGTAGTATTGGGTGGTATGGGCCCGTGCTGGGACATATGCACGGCATTCGGTGATGTTTTCGGGACATAATCGCATATTCCCCATCAAATATGGCAGATGGAAGTTAATAACTTCTACAAAGGTGATATTACACAGTATTAAAGTAATATTTGGTTCATAACTCGGTCGTAGGGTGTACTATTGGGTAGTATTGGGTCAAAATCACGGCAATTCGGCGATGATTTCGGCACAAAATCATATATTTCCCGATAATTTATGGCAGATGGAGTAAATTACGTCTACAAAGGTGATATTTCACAGTAATAATGAAGTATTTGGTACATATGTGGGTCGTATGGGGTAGTATTGGGTAGTATTGGGTGGTATTGGGTAGTATTGGGTAGTATTGGGTGGTATTGGGTAGTATTGGGTAGTATTGGGT